GGACGGCTAGCGCAGATAGCCCTAGTGTAGCTTTGCGCGAAATTCAAAACAAACAAACAAACACTTAACATACCCTACCTGCACTCTCAGTGTGTTTTATTATATATATATTAGTTTTCCATTTATCTTTCTTCTAATAACTCCCGAGCTGGTGAAATATGACCTATATACAGGTACTTTCATCGATACCACCTGGTACTGAGTAAAAGCACTTTGCTACAAGTACCAAGGTGCACGCGAGTTTGCTTCACTAATCGAAACTGTGGGCTTGAAGTAGTTGACATTCGCTTCTTTGTTAACTGTTACCTGATATACTACGCTGTTAACAGGCGTAGACTCTCCACTCACCTTGCGTAGAACTGAAAGAGTATATTTATTTGGCGTAAAAGAGCTGTGCATTTTATGAACTCATGTGTGTCTCCATATCGAAAATAGATGAAATAATTTAGGAAGTGCAGGTAAAATGTAACTTTAGAAGTGTTGAATGATTTCAAAGTGAAAATATATAGTTAAAAATTCTTTGTTGGCAAAAATTACACGTGTTTAACTACTGATGTTTATCGCAATAAAATAAAGTTGGATTTAGTGAAAAACAGTCTTATTATGCTTAGATGGCTAGCATATATTTTTATGCACGATAGTTTCAACAGTTATCGTTCCTTTAATTTGTTTCTTTTTTTTAGAAACTAAAATTACCTTCAACAATAGATCATAAATTCTAGCCGGTGTATAACTGCGTTTTGCACAGATTAAAGGTTAATATCACTTATGATAAATGGGTTTGTTTGTTTGTTTTTTGAATATCGCCCAAAGCTACACGAGGGCTATCTGCGCTAGCCGTACCTAATTTAGCAGTATAAGACTAGAGGGAAGGCAGTTAGCCATCACCACCCACCGCCAACTCTTGGGCTACTATTTTACCAACAAATAGTGGGATCGACCGCAACATTATAACGCCCCCACGGCTGAAAGGGCGAGCATATTTAGTGGGAGGGGGATTCGAACCCGCAGATTGCGAATCGAGCGTCCTAAGCACCTGGCCATGCCGGACCGATAAATGGGTTAGTAACTTTTATTGTTACACTTCTCGATAGGTTTCATTTAAGTGTTATTTCCAGGAGACAAATCTCTTATGCTGTTATATATTTTTCTTTTAAAGATAAAATGTACGTTTTCTTTATACCAATGCTCCTTAAATATTGTCGAAAGTAATATGATTTGAACAGGCAATATTTACTATTCCAACTAAGTGTATCATCACTATTTAATAGAAAGAATCTCGCTAATGAAGAAACGCTCACAAAGTCACTTTACATGATATTTTGCTTATAGGCTACCAGGAGCCCCCCAGTGGCTCAGCGGTATGTCTGCGGACTAACAACGCTAGAAACCGGGTTTCGATACCCGTGGCGGCAGAGCACAGATAGCCCTTGTGTAGCTTTGTGCATAATTAAAAACAAACAAGGCTACCAGGAAAAACGATTTATTTTTAACACAGAAACAATATATCTGTGACTTACGTTGTCAACAAACTAGCAAACTAGACAGATAGATAGATCTATCTATAGAATAAATAGATAGATCCAATAAAATCTTAATACTTTACATAGTTTATTTAACAAAAAATATTAATAAATTTACCTAAAAACAGAAATTTAAAACTTTTGTTTTTTAGATCAAAGTGTTTGTAGAGTTTTGGTGAAATTAAACCTTAAATTCTAATATGAAGAAATAAAAGAAAACTTTAAAGTGTTCGCTCTTTCATTCTATTTTTTCGCCCTTCTATGAATCTAACAACCTGTTTACCAAATTTCTATGCAGTTATCTGTTTTCTTCTTTTTCTAAGAACGTACTAGGAAATATCGGTTATCTATCGACCTTATTGTGTAAAACAGAATAAATCGTTTAATTACGTCAAGAGTTGCGTTTAGAAAATGTGACTTTGTTCTGTAAGCCTAATGATAATAACATCGTTATCTTTGTTCTTCGTAAACATGAGATGGGGGGGCAGTCTTATTTACTTCTCTGTTAGGCAATGTTTCAATTGTTCAACACTGTAGACAGATAAGCAGATACTAACGGACTGTTGTGACTAATATTACATACACAAGAATAAAGTATGAAGTATAGTGGATGGGACTTCTTATAAGGACCAACAGGGTCCTTGCTTACGTATTTTTATATATACTAGATGTACTTTCGCAGGTTCCCGAAAGTATTCTAAAAGTAAATAAAACCAAAATTAAAAGTAACAAATATTTTTATTTTTTGCTTTCGAAGTTCATATGTCATGCTATGTTGTAGCCTACAGAGTGCATAATTCTTCTCGTGATTCATGGCATGTACGACAGTACAAATTGCAACGTTAAGCGCCCTTCATGTGATGTCATTTTAGTGCCTACTGACTGACTAACAGACGACACACTACTCTATAGGTGCGCGAGTGGTTTAAACAGGTGACCCCTTCAGACGGCCTTTGGCCCCTTTTCGGAGAGATAATAACATGCTGATAGATGTCACGTGATTGAGTTCGGTGGTGTCCGAACGTTTTTTTTCTTTTTTTCGGGCTTGAACACCTCCACCTTTTCTTTGGGGTATCTGTAGAAGTAAGTAGGAATAATGGATGAACTTGTTCGATACACTGAGATCTCTGGGGATCATCAGGTATTTTATGAACTCGTAGTCTCTTATATGAATATAGAATTGTATCATTCGTCCGTGCCCAACAATACGGGTACTATTCACTTACTTTGATATGTAATCAACAACTTAGTAAATTTTTAGCTACCCATATAGTTACACACTCAACAAAATAACAGTATAGTAACAATTGAACATAAGATTGTGTTATCTCTTAATGACGTATAGTAAACAATACAGGCAAAACACTTTCATCTGCACAATATTATATAACAAATAAAGTAGGATCATTCATCTGTACAATATTATAATCAATAAAGTAGGATAATTCATCTGTACAATATTATAATCAATAAAGTAGGATCATTCATTTGTACAATATTATATATCAAATAAAGTAGGATCATTCATCTGTACAATATTATAATCAATAAAGTAGGATCATTCATCTGTACAATATTATAATCAATAAAGTAGGATCATTCATCTGTACAATATTATAATCAATAAAGTAGGATCATTCATCTGTACAATATTATAATCAATAAAGTAGGATAATTCATCTGTACAATATTATAATCAATAAAGTAGGATCATTCATTTGTACAATATTATATAACAAATAAAGTAGGATCATTCATATGCGCAATATTATATAACAAATAAAGTAGGATCATTCTTATGCGCAATATAATATAACAAATAAAGTAGGATCATTCATCTGTACAATATTATAATCAATAAAGTAGGATCATTCATATGCGCAATATTATATAACAAATAGAGTAGGATCATTCATCTGTACAATATTATATAACAAAGTAGGGTTATTCATCTACACAACATTATATAACAAACACGGTAGAATCATTCATGTGCACAATACTATGTAACGAGCAATGTAGACTCATTCATCTGCACAGTATCATATAACACAGTAGGATCATTCATTTGCACAATATTAAATAAGAACAATATAGAATCATTCATGTGCAGAATATTATATAATGAAAAATGAAGAATCATTCATGTCCATAATATTATATAACCAACAAAGCAGGATCATTCAAGTGGACAATATTATATAACAAATACAGTAAAATCATTTATCTGCACAATATTATATAAACATTAAAGTATGATTAATTGACTCCATGTCTACAGTACTTATCAATTTTAGTGGAGTCAAAATAGGGATTTGTAGCCTGAGAAAATAATGTAGACATTATTTCCAGCCTAAATTGTTTACGTTTTTTTGAGTTCCTAATTGTAAGCTTGAAGGTATAATCTTTGCATTTTGATTCAGCTGGTTTCTGTACTTTTTGACGATCTCTATTCCTTTTTAAATTAACAAGTTTTAAGTATCACGTTTCTTAAGTTTTTTTATGTCCATTTATAGAGAATAACTTTTAAGCTACATACATGCATATACATTCAGTTGAATGTTACATGTTTTTCAACAATTTACTACTGCATTGGATTTTTTTTTTCACCCAACCATTATTTACTGAGCCAAGTGATCTTGTGCCTGAGGTTTCGTGTAAACACGCGTTTAACAAGCGCCGAGTACAAAGGAAGCTGCTCATAACAACATCGCATATATTATGTATTTATAGCCATGTAAATCAACTTTCAATTATAAATAATCAACTTTTTGAATAGGTCATGGACATTCGCAGCGTTTCATATAATATATTTGTCTGGGTTT